CAAAACCACACAATAGGGTGGGAGAGGGTTAAGATTCTAAGAAGTAATATAAGTAGGTGGAGAGCGAGAGAGGTTGATTACTGAATCCTTGTTCATTGACTCTACACCCAACACACGCAATAGGAATGACTCAGTGCAAATACCAGAAATATGGAAGATATTATTATTATATCAGAAGAGGATAATAAATAATCTCAAAATTCTATTTCAATTCAAGCACATCACAACATTCAAACATGTTACTTATTATGACTATAAAAAACACTGGTCTCATTCTCCATGTGATTGTAATTGATCAATAGCACTCATTAATAATTCTGAATGCATATTATCTCATAGTGATGTTTATTCAAATGTCTATTCATCAATTCCACACATGTATATAAATGAAGCAAGAAAGTTGTGTGAGTGAGCAGCTTGATATGATTATGAGTGGCAATAATTTGTGCTCGAAACGTCATCAGTTAATATTACTGTATAACACTGTGTGACTTATCAAAATAAAAATCTTATCCATAATGAAAATATTATTTTTCAAGAGTAGATTTGTAAGGATTAGATCTGTTTTTCTAGTTTGACCACGGATTGATATCAGTTAGAGAAGCATTGAAAACCAGCACTGGAGTATTACTGGACAGCCAGTTGTTTCGTCATCCTAGTCTCTTGGGAATCATCGGCATTACGCATCTACTGGGGTTGAAACCCAGGACCTTCCGGTGATTACAAGGCCAGTGAAGTCTACCCAGTCAAGTGTGTGAGAATGGATTTCCCGCCGATGACATTGGTTGGTGCCAGTCGCGCTAAATCACGAATGAGTAGAATCTAGAATTCATGTGGGCTGGCCACTGAATCAGGTACCAGTGACTGAATGGTTTATGAGCTTGCTTTGTAACCGGAAGGTCCTGGGTTCGAACGCCAGTGAGTGCGTACTGCCGATGATTCTCAAACTTTTTGATGTGTTTCTGTTCTCTGAGCTAGATAGTTAATTTGTGAAGCTCTCATCGCCCTACTAGGAAACATCTTCAGTGCATGCTTCAATTTATTGAAGTGAGCCTTAAGATTTCTCCACGAGTTTATTATTCATCTCTCCTGGTGACCTAGCATGTGATTGGTTGTTTTTGTGTGTTTTCACACCCTCTAGGCTACTTGTATTGGAACTGATTGTTTCTTTAACTTGAACTCTGACCCTTTGTGTATGTGAGGTTTCTTTCTTATCGGTTGATAAATTTTGTCTATCTCGATGTGTCTATTGATTGATGATTCACTGGAACACCGGGCTTCTAAAAATTCTCTAGCATTCTTGGTGTTTTCTCTGTCTAATATTTGAACGTTGTCCCATTCGAATTGATGTCCGTGGTTGTCTGTAGGCAGCAATATGAGCGAGGGAGTGAATGTCAAGTCTTTTGACGGCTGACTTATTGTTAATGGATACGAAGACGAAGAGGACGTCCACTTTGGCCAATGTAGTGTTTTTCGCAGTCGTTAAAATTTTTTTTAGATGATATTGGTTTTATCTTCTTTCGTTGTTGAGTCTGTCTTTTGGTTGACAGAGAGCCAGCCGAGTGAAGTGATTTTGTTGGTTTGTGTGCGACGTCAATTCCTAAAGGTTTGAATAGTCTTGCAGTGATTTCTGAGATGTCCTTTATACATGGTAGGACGATTTTCTTTGTGCTTTCCTTGGGAGCTTTTGGTTTGATAGGTTGGGTAGGGGGTATATGTCTCTTGATGAAGTTCCGTGGATATTCTCAAACTAGGCTGATGAAACAGTTGGCTGTCCAGTACTCCAGTGCTGGTTTTCAATGCTTCTCTAACTGATATCAATCCGTAGTCAAACTCGAAAAAAAACAATATATCAATGAAAAAGCGTTCATTTACCAAGAGTTCCGCAGTAAGTTAGTAATGTCCTGTCCTACACTTATCACACACAATATGTGCTAAATAATAAGGCATTGTAGAGTTTTTCTACTTAGCCGTCCCAGCATACAGTACTCAATAGTTGCTTCTATTTCTACCTGATAAGTTACATGCACGGAGAGAGCTATGTATAGAGAGAACGCTCAGAGTCTCACAAGATAATATTCACTAATTTCTTGTGTGAGTCCATGTGTCTACTGTCTACAATAGTATTAACGAGTTGGTTTAGCTTAGCAACAACCCACTGGTCCTACTGACAGCTTTTAATGCCCTTCTCTTCAGTATAACCAAGTGGTTTTTCTTAAGTAGCCCAGGAAAGATTAAGGTGGTTAGGCGGGAGGGAGCAGTATACAAGAATTAACAAATTGGGAAAGTAGACACTGAGCGATGCCAGATCGTCTTAACTGCCTTACATAGAACGTCGAACGAAATATCATCCTGGAAACTAACATAATGTGGGAAGACCAGGAAAGACCACAAGAAATACACAATCCAGGGTATTTAACATTCGATTTAGTTTCAACTTCTGTGGCATATAATAATATTGGAACTGAGCGAAATAACCAGTTCATGTAAGTCGCGCTGGTGCTTGAAAGTGAAGTCAACAACCTGACATTTGAAGGGATTAAGCTTCAGACCATTTGATGACAAGAACCACTGACTAATTTCTGATAAAAAGTTATTCATTTTTTCAACAGTCTCACTGAGAAGTAACTGCCGGCATAGAAACAGTCAGATCGTCGGTGTACTTAACGAAATTTGGCTTCGTCAGAATGAGGCAAGTCATGAGTAAGAACAGCTCCTTGAGGAACACCACCTAGAGTAAGTGAACCAGTGGAGGACTTTCCATTGTAAACAGTGTACTGCTTTCTATCTTAGAAAAATAGGAATGCAAGCACTTATTAGACCAGCACAACCCTGCTTAAGTCACAGCAAGCTTGTTTAACAAAAGATACATTCATATTCTATTAACAGCTTTAGTATGATATTGTAACGACAAAAGTCAAGGGTCAGGAAACAGATCGTTTATTGAGAAAATCAACAGATATTTATAGATTTTTATGTACATTATTATTAGCGTTTTTGATATCGGAGAAGCAACTTCTGATTGGTTGTTTTCCTGCCGAAGGTTATTCTGTATTGCCTGTGACCGTTTCTTAGAAAGTTAAGCCATATATCTGCGAATCGTATTTGCACACATTAATTCCGCTGTGATTGGTCAGTGAGTTTCTCAAGGTTAAGTTTTGTTATTGTTTTTTCTCATGACCCCGATTCGGGGCGTAACATCACCGTTCTGTATTTATTTTTTCATCATTTGTCTTATGCAGGCAAGACCTGTTTATCGCACTATCCGTCTGTCTGTCTGCCTATCAATCTATCTATCTATCGATTTATTCATCTGTCTACCTGCCTACCGCATAACTGATTTCTTAGTTCCAATTAAACTGGGTTTTTTTGACGTAGGCTAAAAATACCGTTCTTAAACTGTCAATCAAAAAACAAGAATATATACTTAGAGAACAAAAAAAGTTACGAAAACAGCTAATACATTATAATTATAATCAAAAATTATATTATACCCTTCAAAAAGACTTAGCGAGACGTTTCAAGTAGCGAATACAGGAGTAAGACAAGGCTGATTACCGATGTTATTTTTAATTGCGGTGGACTGACTCGATAATGTGGAAGACTGTGCGTTAGGAGCAAGAAGACAGAAATACCACTGAACCGAAAAGAAGACTCGAGACAACCAGGATTCCGCGGATGGTTTATGTCGAATGTCACACAAACTCTAAGACTTACAGGTGAAAATCAACAAACTGCATGAGGAGGCAGCGCAGCCAAGACAGAACTCCAGGTGAACATAGAGAAGTAGGAGGCGATGAAGATAACCACCCACTCACCCACCATCACTAACACCACCAACAACAAAACCAATCACCCACCATAAACGGGAGAAATTTGAAAGAGGTCACTACCCTCACTCATCTAGCTAGGAAGCATCGCTCCAACTACAGGCACACGGAACAGATGAAAATGTCGAAACCAGCCAGTCAGAATCGGAAAGGCAAGGTACACCTTTAATGCCTTGAAATCACTTTGGAAATCTCCTGCACTCACTCAGCCGGAATTCGGATTTTCAACACAAATGTGAAGTCAGTTAGTCACTCAGTCACTTCTTCTATAATTGGTGAGAAACTTGGCCGGCGCATGAGTCACAAAAGGATTTACAACAAAGAATACAAAGAATATTTCCAACAGGTTGCAGACCTTGATCAACAACTGTCTTCGTTCTATACTCAAGATCAGATGGCCGGAAAGAAGCACCACCAAGAAACCATGGGGGCAAACGAAACAAGAACCAATCGCTCAACAAAATATGCAGGAGAAAGTGGAGATGGATTGGACACTCACTGGCTGAGGAGGCCGCTGGGTGACATCGTGCGTCAGGCCAACGCTCGAGTGGAACCCGAAAGGGAAGCGGCGAGTGGTCCGTCGGTGCAAGGGTGACATGGAGGAGATCGTGTGAAGAGAAGTTGAAACAGTATGGATTAACACGGATGCAGATGAAAAATACAACAGAAGATAGAAACAAGTGGAGACGTGCAGTTGAAGCCCTATGTTCCACTAAGAACCCAAGGGAACAATAATAATAATACATTCTTGAAACTCTTATCAGCAATTGCCCCCTACTCTGGCTGAATACTGAAGATCAAACGGCCGGTTGGCCAGAAAGAAATAGCAGCCAACAAGAAACTCTGACAATGAACGCTCAAAAAATATGTAGGAGAAAATGGAGATGAATTTAACACACGTCGTCACTGAGGAGACCGTTGGGTATCATCGCCGTCAATGCAGGCCATCGCTCGAGTGCAATGCGAATGAGAAATGACGAGTGGGAAGTCCAAAGAGTGACATGGAGGAGATCAGAGACTATGGACAAACGTGGGGGCAGCTTGAGAGGATCGCAGAAAATAGAACAAGATGGATGCGTGTCGTATGTTCCACTCGGAACCCAAGGGAACAACAATAATAATATTCCCTTCAAAAATAAAAGATAAAACCATTCTGACATGCACACTTACAGAATAGACACTGCCAAATTGTAATGGTGCTAAAATCGATTTAAAGTGTTTTCGATTAATACGATCATGTAAAGCGATACCTGGTCGACCAGTGGAATCAACAAACGGCAACAAATCGAAATAATCATTCTTCAAAGTATCCAATGATAAATGCGATAGTGTTTGTGAAGTATCAGCAGCTGACAGTGGTGACGACGACGACGTCGACGTCTCTGTTGTTGTCATTGATGATAAACAAAAATCAATAGACCATGCAGACGAAGTGTTCAGCACAGAAGACATATAACAATCATTACTGTTATTATTATTATTACTATTATTATTATTATCCTGATTATGTTCATATGAAACCATTTGACTTTCATCAGTAGGCAAGATATTACTAATAACTGGATTAGTAGTAGTAGTAGTTATCGTTGGCGTAGTGGTATTTACACTTTGATATAGCTGTACTTCACACTTATTATTAGATTCCGGTGAACAGCTTAATATTTGATTTGTTGAAGCGGGAATTTCAGATTTACCGCCATTTATACTGTGAGTATTATCAGCGCTTTCGTCTTCTACATGTGTTGTTGTAATCTCTTCAAAATTACTAGATGAACACGAATTCACAGTGGATATCTTGGAGATTTCAGAAAATTCTGATGGATACATTACATTGGTTGATGAAGAATTATCCCTGGAGATTCTACAACAACAAAAAACAATTAATTTAATTAGAAAACAAAAATACTACAGTGAATGATTATAGGAATTATTACAAAAAAAAAGATGGTGTTGCGGCGAAGATTATTTTCTTCTCGACGAAGTCACCGTCAACCAGGCTGGCTTGTACATTCGTGTATTTATAAAGTAAGTGGGTGAGAAAGTTGCAGAATTATTTCCGGTTAAGGGTAACAGAACATCTGATGATGAATTCAGGATATCCGACTCCATTTAAAAATGAAGAATCCTTCAAAGTCATATACAAGATCCGACCAAGCCTCTCCAAGGGAGTGAAATCAAGGTTTCTGGCTGGGAATACCTGAGGCATTAGTGATCCAAAAATTCAAGCCTATGTCATCTATTCAGAAGAAATGTGTCCAACCATTGTCTCTACCATGGCTATTATGAAAAGTCACCTTTTTTCTCCAATCTTCCAATCAACAGTTAGTTAATAGGAAGGTGTGGACTTCCTGACTGGTTGGGGACCTGAGGACGGTAAACACTAATGGCTGGACACAATCGGTGATATGGCTAGCTCAAAATCATTCTCAATGGCGCAGATACATCCACTCCTTGTGACTTATAATACCCAGTAAGACTGTATTAGTCTTCGATATTACTATGTCTCTGTTTACTGTTGTGGTGAGAGCTTTCTGCAAGACAAAATTATAGACAACAATTGACGTCTATTAATATATGTGTAAAACTTGGGCACTGTGGTAGTAAGTAATTCCATATTAGTTTGTTTATTTGATATATCACACAGTGAAACAGTATTATTTACTTGACGTCTATGTTTACGTCCCGATTCGGGGTCATGAGAAGAAAAAACAAGAACAAAGCCTAACCTTGAGGAACTCAACAACCAGTCACAGCAGACTTAGCGTGGGCGGATACGTTTCGTAGATATTTCACCGGACTGTCTAAGAAACGGCAACAAAGAGATGACAGAGGAATCTTCAGCAGGAGAAGAACCAATCAGAAGACGTTGCTTCTCTGCTAACAATAACGCTAATAATAATGTACATAAAAATCTATAAATATCGGTTGATTTTCTCAATAAACGATCTGTTGGCTGGCCCTTGTCTTCTGTCGTTACACTGTATTTTGCATTCCGTTTTACTTTCTCTTGCTTTGTGTGCTACATGGAGTGTGGCGTCTCGAAATGCTGCACATCAGGGCAAAGTTCTATGTTGAAACCAGTCAGTCAGTTTCCTGTTTATTTCTGTTATTTTTACGTTTTTTAATTCCTGTCTGCACGACTATGTTTTTTTCTATCCGAACTTCCTATCTATCTTGTTATTACCATACGTCTAATTCCTTATTTTACAAAAAAAGTCAACTGCCCGTAATTATCATCCTACTATGTTTTGTTTTACCCGATCTTCTTGTTCATTGCACTTTGTGATTTTATTAAATCTGACCTTTGACCTACCGGAAATAGTTCTGGAACTTTCTCACCGATTAACTCTATAAATACACCAATTTACCGTCTAGTTGATGACTGACTTAGTGGAAAACAGAAATTTTCTCCTCTGCAACCGTCTTTTTACTGTGAATGAACATCATATTTTAATGTTTAACGAGAGTTCTCCAACTTTTACTGACTGGTAGGGTATTGTGTTCCTACTTTTTAACCTGCAGGTTCTGGATCCACACCTATTTGGTGATCATGAATACCTTTCGAAAATTTCACTGCTTTTTAAAGCTAGACTTGAAAATGATGTCTAGGAAGACAACTGAACCATCGAGCTCAAAAAACATCATGATGAAATTCCCCAAACAATCAAACAAAACGTATACAAAATCAATATTTGAAAATTATTCTAATGATCACTAGCGACTGGCACTATTCAGGTAGTTACTTATGGTTCTAGTGGGAAGCCACGACCAGTAGGGTACAGCAGGTTAAAGGCGAGGCAGTAACTCGTCATCGAAGAAGACATTGCAAAGTGGTCGTGCTATGTCATGCATTGGCAGGAGTTAGAATTCATGAACTGGCTGGCCATTGGACCGAATCCCAGTGGATTATTGGTCTATGAGCTAACCCGCCGTGTAACCAGAAGGTCCTGGGTTCGAATCTCAGTTGGGTGGGTGCGCACTGCTGAAGAGTCTCGAACTAGGCTGACGAAACAGCTATCCAGTACTCGGGTGCTGGTTTTCCAATGGTTTTCTAACTGATGTCAGCTCATGATGAAATCCTCCAACATTTCAAAAGTCCTACACTGTACTGTCACCGATGATCTTTTTGATTATGGTGGACTTGATCATCCAGTACACCGTGAGAGAAAAAAACAAGTGTACGTTGGAATAAAAACAGACCCAACAAGATTTGGATTTCGCGCATGATGTATGTCATGTGACACGAACACTCGACGATTTATAAGTGAAAACTACCAAGAGGGCAGAAGAGACAGAGAAGATAGGACTTCATCATATTAACATGGAGATACCCAACACCAACGAAAAAACACACCAATCACCATCAACGGGAGGAACTTGAAGGAAGTAATCTCTTTCGCTTAACTAACCTAGTCAACATTGTTTCAACTACAAGCACTACGGATGACGATATCGAAGCCAGCCCAGATAGAATCCGGAAGGCAAAATAGGCTTTCATTATTTTGAAATCATTGTAGAGATCTACAGCATTCAGGACAACAAACAAGATCCAAATTTCCAACAATAATATCAAGTCATTGCTTACAAATGGTTGGTTAAGAGACTTGGCATACATGTCAGCGAAAGTATTTTCAACAGACTGCGACTTTCATCAACGGCTGACATCCTTGTTTGACACTGAAACTCTTTACGAAGTGAGGTTGAAAGGCCGCACACCTAACCTTCTCTGCTTTCCGCGCTAGACACGATTTAACACCGGATCGATCAGGAATCGATCCAAAACCTTCAGTGTGACTAACACTGCCCCATTAGACGACGGACGTCATGACCACAACAATACAACTAATCAATATGATTAAGACGAAAAAGTTCATTCAACTTACTCAGTTTTTGATAATGAACTGTCATCATTTGATTCAAAAAACTGTGGATTTCGTTCTGATGTGCATCCGTCCCCCGTTGAAGTGCATACTACATCTTGAAAAAAGATATACGCAGCATAGAGAAGAGAGAAAGAGAAAGGAAGGATAGATATTATCTAACCATTTCATTAAAAATCAGGTTTCTTTATGCAGTTTTCACATCAATTCCAACATTATTGATGTAAACTGACAAATACGAATCGGTGGTACAGCGATAGAACGCTAGTCAACTGCACCTCATGTGATTCGATTCAGGACTCGATCGCCGGATAACAAAGGCACTCCTGAAACACGCTAAGCCAGTAATAAGACCGGTTAAGAATAAGAAAGGTTGGATATGAGGTTAGCGAACCCACTCGGTAAAAAGCAGACATTACTGGTACAGAAACTTAAAAAACTCAAGCCTGAAATCCTATGTTCCACTCACAACATAAAGGAACAAACCAAAAGAAGGCACGCACACTCGCACGCACGCACACAAACACAACTCACCTGATTGTAGTTGCGATTTACTCAGTAAAACGGAATTTGATCCAGAATTGGTTAAATTAGCCCTGACTACGGTTGGTATATGTGATGAAGGTGATTCCGAATCATCGTCCTATTCAAATAAAAGTAAAGTAGACCACAATTCAAATTCTTGAAATCAGTCGAACTTTCGGGTTTGTATAATTTAAATTAAATTTTTAAATTTTTTATCATAGCTTGACTCCACACAGTATTTTTGATACAAGTATGAAATTTTCAGCATGTGATATCGGTAGCCCAAATTTGGCAGGCCGACCATTGATATCGGGTGTGCGTCGGCTGGGGATCGAACCCCGGACCATGAATGTGCATGGTCGACGAGCGTCTTAACGATTAATTTCAGTGTAGACTGGAATTAAGAACTAACATCAGTTGAAGATGGCTGACACAAACACATGCGCGCCGACGACTCAGTTATCATTATCTCCTAACGGCGGGGGAGCAGCCCTGACAACTTCAATAGAATAAACGAATAGTCAAGTGTTGGTTTGCAGGGATTTGTTTTGATTTCATTGGTTACAGGATTATCATCATGAGCTGACATCGGTTAGGGAACCACTGGAAACAAGCACCCGAGTACTGAACAGCTGTCTCGTCAGTCTAGTTTAGGACTAACTCTTCAGAGGTACGCACCCACTCCATTGCCACGGTTCGGACCCATAACCTTCAGGTCACAAGGCCAGTTCGTAGACCATTAAAATAATAAAAGACATTTACGCAATACTTTTATAATATGTAGTGAAAAATTCGACCTAGATAGTCTATTCGACACTTTTAGCGTAACACACTTTTCGACTAATTCACTCTGAAATGGGAATCAAACCTGCTATTTCTATTCCTGGAAGTGGTACTTTCGAGAGGATAAAAACAATTCAATTATAAGATCAATATAACGAAAAACCAACATCCACTGGACAGTTTATTAACTTCCAGAGCTCTGTCGCACTAACCATAAAATAACAGAAAGTAGTACGTTCATTATGCTCTAGGATTTGGAGGACACCGTGGAGACCGGAGTTGAAAAATTTTTGTGATAGTAAATAAGAAAATGAATATCCATCTAGATATATTAACCAAAACATGAAGGAAAAGGCATTGTCACCTGGAGTTCAAAGATGACATCGAAGCCGAAATCTTTCAAAGCTATCTTTCTAATTGTCTGAAAAAGACATCAGAATCTACGATTCCCTTGAGAATTCTATTCTTCAGTTCATATAGTTATGCGTTAAGGACTTATTTCCTGTGGAGCGAAGTAAATCAACCCTACTCAACGTCAAGTCCGTAAACGTATCTTAGAACACTAACCACACTGGCTAACTCTACAGTAGCGAAGAAAAAATATCAGCAGTGATATCATCGAGCATCTTGTCAATTGTCAGTCTCAAGCAACCCCCCCCTCTATGACTGCTTCAATGGGATCCACAGAGCTTCCCCGAATATAGCACCATAAGACTTCAAACACGTCATTTACGAATAGGCGAATCACACTGGCTGGCTATTCAGGACCTCTGTGTTCAAAAGCCTTATTAGGATCACAGTAACATTATTGCCATAATATTGTTTCATAATGAAAAAGAATATATTTTTTAGCTCAATATGTTTTTCTGAATATGTTAATAGGAATTCTTAAGTTACTATAATTTTATTGTGATTATTACTGTCACTTATAACAATGCATTGCTCACACACACACACATCTCATGTAAACACTTTACTGTACTCATTAAAACTGATTAGCTCATTACTATTATTATTCGATGGAGGATTTCATCATGAGCTGACATCAGTTAGAGAACCACTGGAAAACCTGGGACTGGCTCAATGGTCTACGAGCTATCTCGCCTTGTAACCAGAAGGTCTTGGGTTCGACCACTAGCAGTGGGGTGGGTGCGTACTGCTGAAGAGTCCCAAACTAGGCAGATGCATTCGCTCCTTGTCATTTGTCAGTCATATCCATATTGCTGTTGTTTTTCCTTCACACTTCTGTTTATTGTCTTTCTTTTGATGAATCTCTGTTTACTTTCTTCTCTTGTTTCTTGTGCTAAATGAAGTGTGGCAACTGGAACTGGTGCACATATGAGAAACGTTCTATGATGAAACCAGTCAATCAGTCACTTCTCGTCACTTTGTTTAACTTTGGGCCGAAAATCGCCAACGAATCAGAACATTCTATTGTCCGGTGATCTAGCCGACACTCAATATGATTACGAAAACAGTCCATCACCACTTCTCCTATTTCCTGCCGTAACATGTAGAGTGAGATTCTAACCCGGATACCCGTTGACTGGAAACTCAGTACTTAAGCGCCAATGAACGATATCTTCATTAATGGAAAGGTTAAACAATCAAATGACTAAAATAAAAGTCAAACTTACTAATAATGTACAAGCATCAACACCAATATCATATCCTTCGACTATGTCTGCCTGACGTTTATTTCCATCTGATAATAATTTAGAAGGCCATGGTATGAAGACTATAAAGAAAGGAATATAACAATTATAATTAAATATAAATGGAGAAATAAATTTAAATTGATACAAGACTTTAGGAGATAATCATAAGACATTACGATAGGTGCTGATTACGAATTCTGCGGGTAAATATAGCACACAAATGTTTATTGGTATCATACTCAACAGTCAAATTATTCAATATGTTTCAGGATTTCATCATGAGCTGACATTAGTTAGAGAACCACTGGAAAACCTGGGAGTACTGGACAACTGTTTCGTCCTGGTTTGGGACTCTTCATCAGCACGCAGCCACCTAACTGACATGGTTTGAACCCAGGACCTTCTCGTTACAAGGTGAGCTCGTATACCATTAAGCCACTGGGATCCAACAATCCAATGGCCAGCCAGCCAATGCGAATTCACACTTCTAACAATTCATGCACATTATGGCGCGATCACCACATTGGCCAACGTCATCGCTGGCAACTACTTGTCCTCACACCCCACTGATCACCACTTCTCACTAGAATCCAACTACCTACCTACCTACCTACCTACCTACCTACCTACCTACCTACCTACCTACCTACCTACCTACCTACCTACCTACCTACCTACCTACCTACCTACCTACCTACCTGAATAGGGCCAGTAGTCGCCAGTGAGCATCAGATCAATATTCAATTGTTGACTCGTATGGATTTGATTGAATAAAATAAAAACTTTTCAAAAATATTTTTTTTGAAAAACGAACGAACAAACATACCAGACATTTTAAATTTTTCAGTGCTGTATTTTCTTGAAGAAGAATATGATGATGAAAAGGACATGAGTGAATTTCGACGATTAACATTATTATTACCATCCGAATATAATAACTGACTCTGTACTAACGCCTTCGATGAATACGATGATGATGATACGGAAGCGGAGACCGCCGCCGGTAATGATAACAATGAAGACGATGATGATGATGCATTTGACAAAGACGGAGCAGTACGACCAGATGATGAGATTTTACCATTATTGATGGTGCTTGTAGCGGTCTTGATCCCGGTTGCAGCAGATCTCTGAGACAGCATTGACTGAATTAATGAAGTGTTTTGATGACTGGAATTTGCAAAGAAATCAGCATAAGTGATATTCGGTGCTAAGACGATAAGATGAGCTAAAAGTGAAAAAAACAAAAATAATCAATAAATTATGGCTCACAAGATGACGTAATGACGGGAGTTAAAAACACAAACAAAACAAAAAGAGAATAACTGAATTTTAATCATATTCGAACTAGAAACAATCACCAACCTAAATTCAATCCCTACCACAACTACGGTTATTTCATGTGGTTCCATAATCATTACTTTATACGTTAATTCAATACATATACATATTATTATTTAGTGCGTGGGTGGGTGGTTCAATGAAAGAATGCTCACAAAATCCAGAATGACGCATTCTTGAATCTCGCTAAGCCGGTAGTAGTAAGTCAGGTAAAAAGAAGGAAGGTTGGGAGTGCGGCCAGCTATTCCATGCCATAAAAAGAAACTAATACTGTTGCTATTAACATTATTACTGTTCCCGTTGGTTCCGAGTGGAACACAGGGCTTCAACAGCACACTTCCACTTTGTCGTACTTTCTGCAGTGCTCTTTATCTGGGCCTATGATTGACCACTGTCTCTCGTCTCCTTCATGTCACCCTCGAACAAACGCCTAACTCGTCGCTACTTTCCTATTCACCTTCCACTCGAGTGATGGCATGCATTGAGTGCGATGTCACCCGATGGTCTCCACACTGGCGTGTGCCCAATCCATCTCCATTTGCTTCTCACTATTTGTTGAGTAATCGGTTCTCGCCTATTGGTTCGTTCATTGCCAGAGTTTCTTGTTCGCTGCTAATTCTTTCTGGCCAGAAAGCCATTTGATCTTCAGTATGGAGCCAGTCAATGGGGTAGCTGATGGTTAAAGTCTGCAGAGTGGCTTGCCGGAAATGCTTTCCATGACTCACACACTGGTCGAGTTTCTGACCCATATAGTATAAGAAGTGACTGACTGACTTTACATTTGTGTTGAACAGAATCCGAATCTTGTTGTTTATGCTGACTGAGTGAGTGTGGAAGATTTCCAAACTGATCTTAATGTGTTGAAGGTGTACCTTGCCTTTCCAATTGTGGATTGCTGGTTTCGACATCTTCATCTGTTCCGTGTGCCTGTAGTTGGCGCTATGCTCCCTGGCCAGATGAGTGAAGGAAGTGACCTCTTTCAAATTTCTCCCGTTGGTGGTGGGTGATTGGTGCTGGATGTTATTGTTGGTGGTGGTGGTGATGGTGGTGAGTGGGTGTCTTCATCACCTCCGTCTTCTCTACGTTCAAGTGAATTCCTGTCTTGGCTGTGCTGCCTCCTCATGCAGGTTTTTTAATTTTCGCCTGTAAGTCTTCGAGTTTGTGTGACTTTAGACATAAATCATCTACACTCGAAATCCAGATCTTCTAGAATCTTCTTATCGGTGGTCCAGAGTATGCCTTTTTTTCTCGTTCCCGACGCACAGTGTTCCGCCTAATCCAGTCAGTCCACCACAATTAAAAATATCATCGGTGATAATAGACGGCCAGCCTTGTCTTACTCGTGTATTCCCTTCAAACGCCTTTCTGAGGTTTCGGTTCTGGATTACCTGGTACATGGCTTGTGTATAATAAATTACTTCGATCCATAAATTTCCATAAATACATAAAAATTGACGCTTGTTGGAAACGCTGAATTTCCCGCTATTTTTTTTCTACTGCACTCACTCAAATGATTAGAACAAGATAGTTTTTGGCGGAAAATTGTCTTCTACAACTTTTTCTTCAGGCTCTACCACAATTATAAATTCATGAGTATTAGAATACAAACAGTCAGTGAAGGCAAGTGAAAATTATATCAGAAACTGTCTGTATTGCGGTACATGTATAAGATGGAATGATAGTTCGTTAGTTAATGCTGTCAACTTTATGTAAATAAAATGTACAGTCAGTTAGAATATAAGATAAAGTGTGAATAGACAACTAGGTGATACACTAATGTATATAAATACATCAGTATGTCAATAGAATAAAAGTTTCATTCGTGGGGGGGGAGTGGAGGTGAGTTGTACTCACGGGTGTGAGAGAAATATGATTACCACAAATAACATACAAACAAATACCAGTATATGGAGTACAGTGAATGCAAGATAGATACCAAGTGCAATGAAAAAAGTGTAACCAAATCAATAAATAGTGTCATTTTACCTTATCTTTGCCTTGGTGACTCAACATCTCATCTCACTGATCACACAAACTTTTGTTTCTACCCCCTCCTCAACCATATTTTTATACTTCGGTGAAATTCAGTTTAGTTTTTGCTACTGTGACTTGAGTTAAACTCATCACACTCACCCTACTCATCATCAATTCCTCTCCTCTTATCTTGACTGTACAATTCAACAATTTCCAATGTATCCAACCATTAATTTTTTGCATGTTTGTATTTTCTTTTAACTTCGACCTCATTCGTTGATTGTATAAGTGGAACCTCTGAACAGTGTTTATTAACCTGTGTGTCTCTGTTAACAACTTTTAGGTTGTAAGCAGATGAAGAGATTTCAACGACGAAATAAATCATGGCCTCGACCAACGTGAGCCACAGATCCAAGCACAAACAGACACAAGACGTATATCAAATAAGACATTTTATCTTGATGATATTAGATAGTTGGAGGCAATTGGCTACAGGAAGCCTTGGACCCCGGTTTCGTGTTAGTTGGCATTCATCAAGTTAGGAAGGCGTATCTTCAACCTCCTTGAAGGAACTCATGTCCCGTCTGAGATTCGAATCCTCGTCACCCAGTGCTTCCGTTAGAGACGTTACCACTGAGCTATTCAGGCTCGCGATTGACCTCCTGTAGGACTGTATTGGATATTTTTTGATTGGACACTAGTAACTAGTGTGATGCGTCTAGTCCTCTCTTTGGTGCACACTGAATTCTTCTATCAGTCAGATTTGCAATGTGGCCACCATTCTAGGTAGCTCGCCATCACGGTGCACACTGATTTGATGATATATCGCGAGCCCGAATAGCTCAGTGGTAACGTCTCTGACTGATTGCAACACTGGGTGACGCTGGTTGGAATCTCATAAGGAACATGAGTTCCTTCAAGGCAGTTGCAGATACGCCTGCTTGTTGACTGGTGAGTACCAACTAACACGAAACCTAGGTCCAAGGCTTACTGTAGCCGATTTCCTCCAGCTATCTAATATCATCAAATCAATGTGCACCGTGATGGCGAGCTACCTAGTGGCATGGTGGCCACATTGCAAATCTGACTGATAGAATTCAGTCGGCACCAAAGACAGGAGGACTAGACATATCGCACTAGTTACTGACTAGTGTCCAATCAAAAGACATATTGTCTATTGTAGTAATTAGCAAGTGCCTGTTTGCAAGGATTTGATCGATTACAGGATTGAAATCAGTTAGAGAACAATTAGAATACATGGGATTACGGGACAGTTATCTCGTCAGCCTAGTTTGAAACTCTTCAGCAGCACGTAACCACAAAGGTTCGAACCCGGTCACTGAGTCAGGTCCCAGTGGCTGGATGGTGTACGAGCTTGCCTTGTAACCGGAAGGTCCTGGGTCCAAACACCGATGGGTGAGTACTGATGATTATGGCGAAATAGCTGTCCAGTACTCGAATGTAACATTCTTAGCATATTAAAACAGGGTTTTCACTATATCTCACAGGGTACGCTTACTGTCTTTGTACAACTTACCGCGTAAAGGTCTAGTGGATAAGACAACCACTTCTGAATTGTTTAATTCATATCCATGTGGTAATTGCCGAATAATCCATATTTCTAATCCAATTCCACCGAATGCACGTTTACGTGTAGCATAATTATGACAAGGTTTTAACCATAAAGCATTGACTGTATTAATTTGACCAAGTTGTTGAGAATAAGTCAACAATTCTATTGATTTGATTGGAAATGCTACACTGGAATTTGATAGAATCCCTGGTGAATGATTAGGTTGTAAAAGGGCGAATAAAGAATAATTTGAATCCAATGGTTTAGTCCAATAGACAAGTAAATTGGACGATAGAGAGTGTAAGCCAGACTCTAGAAGGAAAAAATAAAAAGTGATTAAAAATACGCATTAGAAATTTCAAAAGATGGATAACTATTGAACAATGAATATTCCTTTCGATAACTTCGTCTTCTTTATAGCTTTGTTGCTCTCAAGTACAAAAGGAATTTAATAAGGACTCTCAGCTACAGCGTCACAGCTATATGCTCAGAAGACGTTAGTGAAGATGGACTCAAGGTTGAATGTATATGACACCTTAATTGAAAATAGCTATCCAGAAAAGCTGATCAGGAAATACATGACCAAGAAAATAGAAAAGGGCTATTCTCTATGAGCAAACACAAACCTTATGTATATTTTCTAGTGCAATTCACGGGTGACGTGTCGAGCGAGTTAAGAAAATCTATTTAAAGAACTTTTAATTCTGGTAGACTACAAGTTATATTTTCTACACGACCCGTTGTGATTTCGCATTAGAACGATGAGGTACTTAGACCAGCTAGCCACCTCTAATTATATCTACCGATTCAACTGAGCTTGTGGTAAAGCGAGTTGTATTGACCAATACTCTAGGAAATTTATTTTTCGTGCTTGCTCGGGAACACCTACCAGTGTGGTGTATGTGGCTAAATAAAGGTGTAGTAAGAAATATCAACAACAGCTCGATATTAGGCCACCTGGTCCAAAGCAACCGGCCACAAAACAGGCTAGCATTGAAGAATCCTTCTCTATTATCATCTATTGGCTACTAAATGCGTTGCCAAAAGTACCCAGGTGCCGAAGACTCCAAACAGGAGAGGCTATTGAGACTCGCCTACAACAACCGGTGCTCTATGTGCAAAAGAAGCAGGTCCAGATAGCCAGCTACTATTACTGTCTGGTGGAGCCTTCTGTGGAGCCTATAAATTCATGAATTCTGTCTAATAATTCTTCCTAATTTATCTAATATTCAGTGCATGGTATTATATTCATACATGTTGTCACGCTTACATATATTCTATTGAACTGTAATCTATTCATATTATTGATTGATTCGATGTTTTTTGATCAGACACTAGTCAGTAACTAGCGTAATGTGTGTGTCCAGTCCTATCTTTGGTGCAGACTGAATTCTATCAGTCAAGTTTGCAGTCTGACCACCATGCCACTAGGTGGCTCGCCATCACGGTGCACTGTTAATTGTTGTTATTAGATGGTTGGAGGCGACCGGCCACAGGAAGCCTCACCTGACCTAGGTTTCGCGCTAGTTGGCACTCATCAGTCTGCCCCAAAGGTAGGACTAGACACACATTACACTAGTTACTGACTACTGTCCAATCAAAAAAATATCCAATACAGTCCTACAGAAGGTCAATCGCGAGCCCGAATAGCTCAGCGGTAACATTGACTGACTGAAGCACTGGGTGACGTAGGTTCGAATCTCAGAAGGGACATGAGTTCCTTCAAGGCGGTTGTAGAAACGCCTTACTAACTTGATGAGCGCCAAATAGCACGAAACCGAGTTCCAAGGCTTCCTGTAGCCGATTGTCTCCAACCATCTAATCATTCGATGTTATTTAAACATTATTAATAAATTTAATTCTTTCATTATTATGGATGCGTATATAACTGCAGAACTTGATAAAGAGCAGGTTATCGAAAAGAGTATTCTTTGTTCAGTAGTCATCAGTCTATTGAAAATAAAAATATCATACAACAAGCAAAACTAGACTGCCTGTTCTTCACAAATTTCAAATGACAATCAAACATGGATAAGAAAATATTTTGAAAATCCCCATTGAGTCATATGAAAAAGAGAAGACGTTCAGCGAAGAGACTCTTTTCGGCGAATTCATTCACATAGCTGTACAATCGCATTTATATATAAATATTTGTGTGTGTGTACATGAGGTCTGTCAAGTTTAGATAATTAATTAGGTAATACAAGAATGATTTAATACAGAAAAAAAGTTAATCAGACGGCAACTAAAGTAAGATTGAGTTAGTAAGTTAGATGACGTAATGTAATTGACTAAAATGTTTCAACTTAGATCAGGGTAGCAACAGAGGTAATTACAGATAGAGACTAAGTAAAAGTGAAATTGAGCAAATAAATTGGATGACGTAACATAAATGACTAGAAATTGAGCGTTGGTCAAGTCAGTAACAGTGGTAGTGAGCTGTAGAAATTAAATCGGGTGGGGATAGAGAAAAAGAAAGTTGAAAATGTAAAATATTACAATTGAGAAGACAAAATAATACTAATGAAGAGACAGGAAAAAAAGATTAGGTAGAATTTACTTGTCAGCTAATAAGATAGATTACGTCCATTGCAAGTGTAGTGACTGAATGAACTTCTTCTATATGCAGAGTTCAGGACTTAGCGAGTGAATCGCCATTGCTTCTGCAGTTTGAAGAAGTCTGATTCGTACACCTTTAGGAAGACTACTTCTTACTCTGTAGATAACATTGAAGTTTGTTTGCGGTGTAGCTTGGTGTCCGGATTCTATCCGATGTTCTAAGATGGAGCTGCGGGGGCATCGTTTTTCTCCTTTGTAAAACCATGTTGGTAAGTGTTCGGTGATACGTTTGGAAAGCGAGTGCTGGGTACGACCGACGTACCTGGCTCCACATGAGCAGGTGAATTGATAAATACACATTGATGAGGCCAGCAGCGGTAGCTTATCCTTCACATTCAAATGAATCATAGGTTTTGTGGAGGTTAGTCGTAGTTCAGCTGCGAAGGTTTTCCTAAGTGAGCGCGACAGTCGATTTTTTAGTGTTCCTGCAGACATATCTCCATTGAATTGAAGGTTCATGTAGAGTAGTTTTTTCGGGACGCTAAGCATGGGCGGCTTTTGTGGTCTAGGATTCATAGATTTCAAAAAAGTGACTAGTCTACTTATGGATGTGATGTAGAAAAGTAATGAAGAGAAGAACAACTTATTCAACAGCCATTTACACTCATATGCACAGTTGGTGACGAGACACACCTAATATTGTGTTACGGCTAATCATGCTACTACCTCGTAGTACAAACACCTCAATAGGTGGATTGTGATTCAAACCTGTGACTCACTGGTTAAAAGTTTATCATCAACTAAACCAGTCGGCCACAGTTCTGAAGTGTTGTAACGCTGACAGTTTAGACATTTACCAGTGAAATAGAGAATTCGGACAACTGATATAATAATTCTCAAGTATTGGGTTTTTGTAGGGATTTTGTTTGATTGGTTGGAGGATTTCATCATGCGCTGACATCGGTAAGAGAACCAATGGAAACCCAGCGATAGAGTACTGGACAGCTGTTTTGTTCGCCAGCCTAGTTTGGGACCAGTGCCAACCGCCGCGCTATATCATGCGTCAATTAGCAGAAGTTTGGCCATTGGTTTGTTGGGTCCCAGTGGCTTAATGGTACACGAACTCGCCTCGTAACTGGAAGGAGGTGGGTTGGAACCCTGGCAGTGGGGCAGTTGCGGAGTGTTGAAGAGACGTAAACTAGACTGACGAATCAGCTGGTTGTCCAATACTAGAATGGTAGTTATTCAACGCCTCTCTAATCCTGTAACTTAACTACAACACTGACAATTAGTCTCAAAATTTTCATCATCTGACAAAAACCTTTTTTCAGACATCTGACGTAATTTATTGTTAATGATACCATATCATAACTAAACCGGAAACAAAGTAGAACGAACAATAGTGTTCGGCCGATCAATAATCAGTTAATAACGCATTGCGCAGATAAACTTTATGGCGTCATCAATTCTACTAGTCAGTTCTCCAATTGATACATGAATGTATAACATGCAAGTGTCAGAACCTATGAACTAGAGGGAATAACACTTCCATCAGTTCAGACTCATTAGGATCTAGGTGTTATCCTAAGCCACGATTTAAAAACTACAGCACATTGTGGCGCGGTGACAGCACGTAGTTTCATACCTTTATGGGCCTTTACTAGATTCACCAGAGATATGTTCACCTCCTTATATACATCTCTGATGAGGTCAAGACTAGAAAACTGTATCCAAGCAGCCAGTCCTCGTCTTAAAGGGGACTTACAAATTCTAGAAAGGGTTCAAAGGAAGGCAACACGTATAATTCTTGGCATGACTAATTTATCACATGAGGAAAGACTAAACGACAGTTTAAATCTCTTCTCCCTGTTATACTGTAGGCAGAGGCGAGATCTCATTACAGTGTTTAAAAGCTTCAATAACGACTATGAACCTGATCTATTCTCCCTTTTCCTTCGCACCAGGTCGAAACACCTTAGAGAATATAGCAGGAGACTTCAAAAGCCAAGGAGAAACTATATCGCTGTAGAGTCATCAACTCCTGGAACCGACTCCCAGAAGAAGTGGTGACACAACCCCCAATTGATTCATTCAAAAAGGGTTTGGACAGACATAAAAATTTACTAGAAAAGGACTAAAAATAGACTTCGAATAGACCTTCAAATCAACTTACCTCCACTAAGCATACACAATTGAAAATGACGCCATTTCACATCACCATCGCCATCGCCACTATCATCACCCACGTCCCTAGGATAGATAGAATCGATAGAAATCTGTGAAGATAAAACACGTAGACTATTTGATTGACCAATGAATGATGCCTTCTCGATGGATAATAATGAATCGAAATTAATCTGCATAGAATCTTCGGTTTGATTTATGCTGACAGAAAATACAGCACAAAAGTACACAGAATTTAGGCTATTTGGTTCTAATGCAGAAGAAGATGAAGAAGAATCAGGATTTCTATTGGATGTGTGGGATAATGTACACGCAAAGTGGAAATCATGACCATGTAACCATACAGGGCTGATACATGCTACGCTGTAATTAAAAAGAACACACATCATTATTTTAAGACAATTAGATTTTTTTTCTAAAAGACACTTCAGTAGTAATTACTTCAAATCTCGATAAAAAATTGAGAAAAATTTTACTCAAGTTAGAACTTAACAACCCCAGGGAAGATTCCTCATGTCCACTTATGTCACTTATTATTGTAGCACACTTTACACGAGGAGTCAGACAAGGGTGCTTATTATCACCAATGATATTCCTAATTGTGGTGGACTGGATTATGCATCAGACAATGGGAAACGAGAAGACAGGGATATCCTTGAACGACGTGAAGAACCTAGAGGACGACCTGGACTTCGCGGATGATTTATGTTTGATGTCACACAAAATCGAAGACTTACAAGCGAAAACCGACAAACTGGTCGAAGAAGCAGCAAAGACAGGACTTCAGGTGAACATAGACAAGACGGAGGTTATGAAAATAACCAACCAACAACAACAGCAGCAGCAGCAACATCCAGCGCCAATCACCATCAACGGGAGGGATTTGAAAGAGGTTACTTCATTCACTTATCTAGGGAGCATTGTCTCAACTACAGGAGGAACGGACGAGGATGTCAAATCAAGAATCAAGAAGGCGAGAAATACATTCATCAGTGGGAGAACGCTCTCCAACCACGCATGTAATGCTGGGGTTCGATCTCCAGCCGACGTACTCCTAGATCTCGCTAAGCCGGTAGTAAAGCTAGCGAAGAGGGAAGTTCGGGTATGCGGCTAGCGACCCCATTCTGTAGAAATAAAAAACCCACTGCTGCCAAAACTTCAGAGCTGAAGCTTGAAGCTCTATGTTCCACTAGGAACGTAAAAGGAGTAAAATAAATAAAAATAAAAGATTCCACAATACACAAACTTTCCCCTGACATTAAATATTAAAAAAACATCTCATCGACTTCTAGTGTGATGAGAGCGGGCTGCAAGCCAAAACTTGTGGACAACAATTTACGTCAATGTTCACGTCCCGAACCAGGGTCATGAGAAAAACAATCACAAAGCTTATCCTTGAGAAAATCACCAGGCAATCACAGCGGAGTTAAAGTGTGTGGAAATATGATTCACAAGTATATATGGCTTGATTTTTTGAGAAACGGCTACAAAGAGATAACAGAATAACCTCTGAGCAAGAAAACAACCAATCAGAAGACGTTGCTTCTCTGCTAACAATAACGCTAATCATAATGCACACAAGAACTAGTAGAAAGATGACAGAGTATTTTAATAAAATCTGTATGGAAGTGCAATGTTTCCAGTAAACAATAATAGAGTGACAATAAAATAAGGGTGTGCGTCGGTGGCACAGTTGTTAGGATGCTCGCCGACCATGCACATGGTCCGGGGTTCGATCCCCGGCCGACGCACTCCTTTACCTCGCTAAGCCAGTAGTGTGACTGGTAAAGAGGAAAGGCTGGGCATGAGGCTAGCAACCTCATCCTGTAAAAATAAAACACTGCTAAAGAAACTTCAAGCCTCTGGCTTGAAGCCCTATGTTCCACTGGGAACGTGAAGGAATAAAAAAATAAGGGCGATGAGAACAATGATAATAATAAAAATAGTAAACCTAAATAACAAAATGAAGCAAAATTATAGTAAGAGCGTTACTCTAGCCACCGTAAGGTGAGTGAATGTATATAGGGCTTTTGAATGCAGAGGTCCAGCTTCAGATCCCGAATACCTAATGATTCAGCTATGTATAGATGGTGTATTCGAAGTCTTTTCATGCGATATTGAGGAAATCTGTGTAGCACTGCAAAGCATTCAAGTAGGGCTGTTCGATGTCCAGAGTTGACAAGGTGTCCGAGGATAAAGCTGCTAGTATTTTTCTTCTTTTATCATCTGGCCCGTCAGACGGGACAGTGTTCCACAATACGTTTGTGGACTTGACGTTGCGTACGGTCGATATACTCTGACCCACACGAAAAAGTAAACTGATAAATACACACTGATGGCTAAAATCGGTATCTTATCCTTAACGTTAGACTGTAATGTCTGCTGAATAATGTGGTGCGTAAGATGGCTGCTTGAAATGTCTTCTTCACACATTCAGAAAGTCAGTTTCTAAGACTTTCAGCTTCGATATCACCCTTGAATGCCAGATTCATGAGGAGAATTTTCTTAGGAATAGTTGTGATTTTTGGCGGCGGAGACTTTCCCCTCATATTTTTGTCGATGAATCCCGATGGATGCCTGTTCTCCAGTAGGGCTTCACGTGTAATGACTTCATTCTCCGCCATGTCTTTCGAACAGATTTTCTCCAATCCTTAAACATAATGTACGTACTAGGTTTTGCTTTCGGATCAGTGGGAGGAAGCTCTGAAAATTGATAAATTAATTTTACCCTACTATATCTACATCTACGTCTCACTTCTACCATGAAATAGTATGAGTTTATCAAATCAAAACTGTTAACGAGAAACTGTGATTCGAATTCATAGCTTATGGAACATAAAAACACGAAAACAAAATCACTCACTTTAATCCTTCTAAGGAACTAGGCAGTAGAGTGTTTAACTCAAGTTTTATCAGCTTTCTAGTGTTCATATTGTACAGATAATAAGTTAATCCACCATTTTGAACCACTTCTAGCACATCATGACCAAGAGTCGGTGATGTACGTGCTTCAGGCAATACACGACATGTTATTAAGAGTAAATATCCTTTTGTTAACTTAAGATCAACAACTGAACCAGGGACAACAGTCAACACTGATGATTTATAACTAGCAGTCTGGAAAGCAAAAATCATTAAGAAAAAGCAAGGGGAAAAGGCTGAAAACACCAAATTAATAATAGATAAACATATTTAACAGCATGAAAGTGTTAGGGAGAAACACACATGAGAAAATCAGGCAGGCCTTAACCGAGGATGAGGATGCATTTGATCATATTTTCACCCTTCGACAGATTCTGAAACATAAGCATACTTACAGGCGTCCAATAATTGTCATACTTCTAGACCTGAAAGCAGTATTTGATCCCATAGACCGAGAGGTACTATGGGAATGTTTGGCCAAAAAGAGAATGCCGAGAAAATACATCGCACTTTTGTCTATTATCTCTCCTTCGAATCTGTCTTCACTCTCTTCTCTTGCTTTGTGTGCGATATGGAGATATGGAGAGTGGCAACTTGAACTGCCACACATCTGTGCAAAGTTCTACGCTGAAACCTGTCAGTCAATAGAATGAAACTAGAAGTTAGTGCTCTAAGTGTGATGGATAAAAAGAGAGAATCGCTTTTTATTTACGCACGACAAACTAACAGCTAAATAAAACCTCAAAAATGTGTATATGATCGGTATATTTAATCTTTTACTTTACTAAGGCTATAATGTTTTCCTTATTGTTCTCTTAATATTCTTTTAACTCATGCACGTACATTCACCAGTGTTGTTAATATTATTCGTATTGTGACTTACTTTACTTTCCGTTCTCTGCATGTATTATTTTTACATCTTCATTTAGGAATCTCGTGAAGATACTTCCTTTTAAAATGGGTTATATAGTCCAACTGTTTAATATATGTGTAAAACTTGGGCACTATGGTAGTGAGTAATTCCATATTAGTTTGTTTATTGGTTAAACAGTATTATTTACTGGATGACAAGGTTTCGAACAAAATTTATTGTTTATAATCATTGATCACATCAACTCATTTCTGGCCAAGAACTTAGAACGAAAGTACCACTATTAGAGGACATAATAATGGGAGTGCAGCTATGTCTAACTTCCACAGTGTTTAAATTCCAGGGGAAAATATATAAACAAACTGGGGGCACTAATATCCCCGGTTGTGGCAGATATATTCATGGATAGGTGGGAAAACATAGCGATTGAAACGTTCAGCCCCACCCCCAAAAGTAAGGTGAAGGTATGTAGATGACACATTCACTGTACTTGGAACACAGAATAGAGATCGATTTTTTGAACACATTAACTCAAAGGTGGAGGCAATTCAATTTACCCATGAATTGGAAAGTCAGGCAGAGGAGCTTCCAATGTTAGATTGTAGCGTAAAAAGGAAAGAAGATGGGA